GGACAGTTGGAGCCACAGGAGCATGGGACAGGCGTTGGAGGTGGCAGTGAGCCAGAAGCAGGAGAGGGAGAAATGAGACAGAAGTTAGAGGGGCGAGGAGCATAGCTGGAACTGTAATAAAGCTAAACCCAAGTCAGGGGTCCAAATAACACTTTTATTAAATGAACACGGTACTGTACAGCTTGGTTCCTACAGACACTCACACAAGCACTCTCACACACACACACACACACACACACACACACACACACAAGCACTCACAACGGCAGCAAGGGAAAGAGACTCAGTGGAAGGGTTGGAGTCCAGGTAGGGAAGAGAAACAGAGTCCAAGTCCTTGGTTGAAGAGGGGATGATAGCTCCCTATCCAGGCTGGAAAGGGGTCCTTGTCCAGTAGATGTTGTGCAGAGGGTGCTCACCGGCAGGGCCTCTGGGTGGATAGATGGTGTGGCATGGTGCTGGTCCAGATGGAGAGGGCGTCCCAAGGAGTCAGTCTTCACCACCCCTTTTTATGGGGCAGACTACCTCTGATCTCCTATGGGGAGGGCCTGTCCAGTCAAGATGAGTCCTGTTCCAGAGGGCTCCAGGTATTCTTACGGAGCATGTGCAGCCTTGGCACAATGATGAGTTTCCTCATCTTTTGTTTCTTGAATGCTGAGGGTGGTTCCAATGGCTGGGTTGTTGGTCCAGGTATTGGTTTTAATGGTTTGATCACTCAGAAGAAGCTATTTTTAGACCTACTGCCATTGTCTCTCAAGCACCCTCATTCATTCCTATTCATTCAGGAACCAAGTTACATAGGTGGGGTAGGTATGAGTCATAGGTTACACAACAGGGCATGGGGACAAGATGGGGACTTGACATGACTTATGCTAACTTACATAAGTAGGCCTAAATCATATAGTACCAGTAAAACAATAATATAGAACAGTAAAAAATCAATATAAACATAATAATTATACAATATAAAGGAGAAAAAACAAAACAAATACAATTTGCTACCAAAATAAAATGCTGAAGCTTATCCTATGTCTTAGCTCACTTTTACTTATCTATAGGTAATAAAGAGGGAGAGAAAAAGTCAGAAATGGTTGGGGAAGGGGAGGGAATGAAATAACCCCCCCCCCAAAACTGCGAGCTTTGCTATACAGGGGTACCTCATAAATCAAGAAAGATGGACAGAAAAGTACTTTTCCAAATAAGCAGACAACAAGAATGTTGGCAAAAGAAGGAGTGACATGAATGCAGTTTTTGCAGCTCCTGAAATTACTAGCAGACAAAGAGAGTGGGAAACAAATAGCTCATGGGAAAGAACATTAATGATGCCACACAGAGCTTTCCCTTTAAGAGCTTGTCCCTCAAAGTGCTTAAAAGGATACAGACCTTCCAAAAGAGCTCATCCCTGCCCTTCCAAAACTGGTTTATCAGATAGCAGCCCAAACTGAGCACTTAAAATTTGCAAGCCTGGATTTCAGCTCTTCAAAACTCTGAGGACAGCCAAGGGATCCTGAGGTTGGAAGAAGAGCCTTACGAGTAGCATTATAGGAAGAATGTGTCCTGCATCTGTGCAGGGTGTTGAACCAGATGATCTTTGAGATCCCTTTCAACCCATCTATGACACACAAAGTTAGACTGCTGTTAGAGTGGTGGCAGATGACAGAACAAGCAGCAATGATCTCAAGTTGCAGCAAGGGAAGTTTAGGTTAGACATTAGGAAAATCTTTCTCACTAGGAGGATAGTAAAACACTGGAACAGGCTCCCCAGCGAGGTTGTAGAGTCTCCATCGTTGGAGGTTTTTAAGATCAGGTTAGACATAGCCTTGACTGGGATGATCTATTTGGGGCTGGTCCTGCTTTGAGCAGGGGGGTTGGACTAGATGTGACCTCCTGACCTTCTAACCCTCATTTTCTATGATTCTGTGATTAGGCAGTGTTTTAAAAAACAGATGATCCTGTTGTAGCACAGAAGAGGGAGAGCTAAGTAATTCTGGGAAAACCTAACCAGGAACATAAAGTTTGATCCTCACTGGGACAGATCAGTGCTAAGTCAGCACAATGTAGTTCACGCCAACAGAGGCTCTTTGAAAAAATAATTTTAATACCAATACATGCAAAGTCCAAGTTACTTAAGACCAAGAAACCCCGAATTCTGAGGTGGCACACCATGACATGACATAAGTGACCTTTGACTAGGATGTCTTATGGAGACTCAATGACACAGTAGCAGGCACCTAAACCAAGTGGCATAGTATTCACTTTGTGATAAGACGCCTTGCAATTGTGAGTGTTTGTGAAATGTTTTCAAATTCTTCCTGCTGTAGATTCTTGAGAGTCACCCAATGGCTGATCCTGCCCAGAGAATCCCAGAGAATCAGCTTGCCTGCTCAGGATCATTTATGGCATTAAAAAAGCATGACTTTATTAAATGAATCAACTGGCATGTGAAGAAATAAGGTGAGAAAGTGGGCATGTACTCCGTAGCAAAGAGGGCTGGAGCCACTCACAAGCACCACTTTGTCCTGACCAGTGGACCTCAAGTCCCCTGACAGTGATACCACCTGACACACCTAGGTCTGGGTGCATGCTGTGGGCCCAGTCACAGCCCATCCATATAGATTCTGGGCAGCTTCTTCTGGAGAGCAATTTGTTTCCAGCAACAACAGGGGTCCACAGCTCCATCTCTATACAGTATCTTGGCTGAAGTGCCTGAACAACCTCGGATCACTTTCGTTATAAAATGCCGCTCAGCTGTGATACGGAAGTGAACTCTCTTTTAATTAAGGATCAGCAGGTGACCCTAAGCCCAACCCCATATTCATGGGTGAGAAAACCTTGCTGTAGCACGGGCTAGTGATCCTCTTGCTCTCATTGGGCACGTCTACATGTGCATTAACGCACTTTAGTTAATGCGCATTAAATCTAGTACCTCCATTATGAGGTACTAAGAAAATGCACATTAGCCTGTCTTCATGTTTTTAGTGGCACTTTAATGCATGTTGAAATAGGCTAATGCACATTAAAGTATGCATGTAGATGCATCCATTATATCCTTTACAATAACAGGGCTCCTTAGAGGGAAGGATATAATTTTCTGGCACTGTAGAAAACCCAAAGGAGCTGGGGTTGGCCTGGACTGGCAGGAATCCCCTGGCACCAATTCAGGGACCAAATCACAGTTAAATCCTTAAGGAAGGGGAAAGTGGCTGAAGGTCAAGGGATCTTTGAGCAAAGGACTGGCAAACCTGCTAAAAAGTTGCTGTAGAGCTGCTAAAGAGAACATTTTGGTTGACCACGGAGGGAAGCTGAAGCACTTGCAGCTAGAACTGGAAAACATTGTTGGAATTGTGGAGCAGATCCACAGCTGCATAAATCAGTGTAGTGTCACTGGAGCTGAAACAGATGTGTTGATTTCTACCACTTCCAGACTGGTCCATAATCTCAAAAAGATGGGTTTTTTGGGTGGTTTTTTTTTTGTTTGTTTTTTAAAGGAAAAAAAAAAATCAAGGTTACTTTGTAATTACAAAGGCAAAGATTTCTATTTTATAATTTAAAAAGTAATAATAAGTAACGACCTGATTGTGGAACTGACCTGTGTTACCTTCAAACACTGTTATTGCTCAACACAGCGGGGGCCAGATCTTATAACATACTCTTAGTGTTTCACAATACTTTGCATCTATAAAGCTTTAATGAATGCTTGTGCTGCACTCTGAAATCAGCCTCATGAAGTGCATTTGCCCAGGAGATCTCACAAGGATGCATCACAAGTTACATGTGATTTGTGGAAAAGAGATTACAGCTTTATTAAACAAGAAAACATGACCATTAAAAAAAAATGAGGAGGTTGAGGACTGCTGCAAGGGCTGGAGAGGCTGCTGTAGTATGTGTGTGGATAGCAAGCAAAATATCAAAGGCACGGGGGAAAAAATATGAGGTCTGCTTTAAAAACATGATAGTGTAGCAGAGGCAGTGGTGTTAGTCTTTGTGGTGCATATTTTGGGGGCTTTCTCATGGGCTTCCAGAGATCCAGTCTCACCTTAAAACTTTTTCCTTTCAAATGTCTCAGGTCCTGAAACGTCTCAACCAGTAACTCCATGAAATATGGAGTAACACTTCAGTTGTGTTTATATCAAGCCATGTAGCGCAGTGAGAACTTCCACGTTTGCCATGTCTATGCAGGTCTCCTTTGGGCCAGAGTTAAAACTCTGTCGTCATATCTAGTGCCAGATATTATTTTAGCGTTTTGTTAGCAGGATGTAGAAAGTTAACTCGGAGCCAGAATCCACATGCTGAAAGGTTATAATTTGGGCTTCTATCACCTTAGCTCGGCCGCTGAAAGTTTTTGCCAAGACATTTACTTCTATTTATGTCTGCTTGGGTCACAGTCATGCCAGGATTTAAACAGGTACTTACATTTAATCTTGAGTTTTCCAGGAGGGTCGCTCTGTTTGAATAGGTGACAAGGTGATTGTATAAATTAGACCTTGCCATTTTTTTCCCTTTTTTTTCAGGTAGAAGGAGAAAAGCCCAGCATGGATGGAGCATTCACAGGAGCAGTCCTATTAAAAAGCCTTCTTAGATTTTTCCTGAAGTGCTATTTGCTCTTAATGGTTATTTTGCAAAAAGTGACAGATGTATTAAATCGTTACAGGAGAGCAGGTCATTTTGAATCCCAAGCAAATAGCATATAGGAGAAGGAACTATTTCCAAGTCAAAAGTCACTTAGGTCTTTCATTTCTACTCTTTTGCTGCCATAAAGCTAAAAGATATTGAAAAGGACACCCCTCATGGGGCAGAAGATAGATGGTATTCAATAGCACATGCACTGAAATATGTAGTGCGGGTGAAATGCATGCTTATGTACAGGCTGGCCCAATGCTACAGACCACACAAAAGGAATGATTAGCCTCTTGCTTCTGAACTTCAGGGTCTGTTAGGTATTGAATGGCACAGAGCGGAATGGTTCATAGACAAGAAATGGAGGAGAAAGGAAAACCAGGAGGTAAGTGTTATGATGCTTTTAATGAGCATGAGAAGTGATGCATACAATTGCAAATGAGATAATGAAGTAGATGAGGAAAATATTTCCAGGGTTTCAAGAGAGGCTTGGATGAACTGCCCCCTCCAAGGTTTTGCATTCTGAACACCATACTCTTCCCCGTTCCAACTGTAAAGTTTAATGAGCATGGGTGAACTTCCATTGCTTCTAGTTACTTATTGTCCCCTGGTCAGCATAAATCAAGCACAGCAGAATATGAGTAGAGAACAAAGCTGTGCAACCATTATAGCATAGATCTGAAGTAAAATATAACAAGCAAAAGATGTGTATGTCATTAAAAAAATAAATCCTGGTAGAGCTGGTTGGTAATTTTGGGGTTTAGAATACTTTTCCCTCTGTACATTCTCGCTCAATAAAAATGAATCGCCGTAGGACGTTTGATCAGTTTTGATGAAAATTTTGTTAAACAAGGTATCAAAGAAAAGTTTCAACCGTACCATTCCTGGGCATGAGCAGAGTGGAACTTCTCAATTTTCCATCTCCAGATACACTTTTTCCCCTCAATAATGTACTTTATATGGTAAATGACAATGTGATTTTATTTTAAAGTCAAAATGGAAATAAACATTTTGAAGGATCAAAACAGAACATTTTTATCAGCTCTGGACATCATTTTTTATAACTAATTTCATGGAATTTTGCAGGTTTTTTCCTGACACATTTCTGGGGGAAAAAAACCCAAGTTTGAAAATAGGGGGCATGTCTACACATGCATTTTAATGTGCATTAGCCTATTTTAATGTGCATTGAAGTGTCACATAAAACCCATGTGCTTTCCCTAAAGCACATTAAAATAGACTAATGGGCCTTTTTTGGTACCTCACAATAGAGGTAGTAAATTTAATGCGCATTACCAAACATGTATTAGTGAATGTGTAGATGCTCCCAGGTGGTTTTCCAGCTGACTGGATATTCCAGCTCCCACACACAGCTCTAGTGCCAAGCATTCACAACTTCCATTAGCCGCAGTGGAAGTTGTGGGTGCTAGGCACTTCTAAAATCCATAATCAGCAAGCTCAGCCATGAATCTGTTCCTTATTTTTCATGTTTGCTTACTTCTTGTTCCATGGATAATCGTGCTGGGTTTAAAAAGGCCCACAGTTCCCATAGGGGAAATCACCAAAAGGTTCAGAATTACACAAGCTCCCAGGACCACATATTCCCCCCAGACCAAGAGGGCCCTCAAACTCAAAAGATCTCTTGGAACCAAGTAAGCGCTCCATGTCAAATAAAGCAGAGGATCCCACCAGCGTCTGCTGAGGGAAAGTAGTGAGAATTGGGCCAGGGTATATCACAGTACAGGGTTGCCCATCTTCCAGCTCAGTTTCCACTATCCTGTCCGGGTACTGTACGGCATGAATCTCATTGGAAGTGACAGCGAAAGGCTCTGGGCATGGTGGCAATGTCACGCCACAAGGTGGGTAGGGTATGTCGTAGCAAGACATGGGATGGAGGCAAACCTGCAACACACAAGAGCAAGCAGAATAAACATGATACACACACGTATGTGAAAGAGGAGGTCCTGAGGTCAGGTGCTACCATTATGGGCATAAGCTAGAAGGAAGGACGTGCTGGGCCATGATGACTTGTTTCTCCTGGACTGTGCTCACCTCATGCTAACTCTGTGCCTCAGTTTCCTTCAGGTGTTGTGAGGATTAACATGGATGCAGGATATGGGGCAGCTGATTTTGTTAATAGGGTCTGAAATAGTGGAAAGGAAGGTGAAGGGAAACTCAGGAAACAGGATGGGAGGACAACAGAAGGGAAGGGATAGCAATGGTGACAACTGGAAATGTGTGAGATCATGAGGGAGGAATGAGAGAAGTTGGAAGGGGCTGGTTAAGAGGTGGGTAAAGGGGATCAGAATTAGGAGGAGGAGGCTTGGGAGAGTGGGTAAAGTGGACATCCTTTGCTAGGCCTGACTCACTGCCCTAGACCTCCCAGGTGTTTTGCCCCACTTGCTCCAGTTTTCAGGTATCAGCCCTAGATGTGAGCCAATGAGTTTGCTCCAGGGACACCCCCCTCCCATTCCCTTCACACTCAAATGTGCTAAGGGATGAGGGCAAGTGACTTTACCACCACTTCCCTCCATATGGTGCATATACATGGGTGAGTGCAGCATGCTCAAGGGTGATGCTCTCTAGGGGTATCAGAGTTATGGTGCTGATATGCCCTTCATTGCCAACCATATCTGTCCCTATCTGCTTCCTTCTCATCCTCTCATCACATTAGCCCTTGGCCCCTCTTAATTGACTCTGAACTTCTCTTACTCTTTCCAGGAGGGGACGCCTGTTACCACCATTACTGGCTTTTCATTTTTCTCATCCTTCTGTCCTCCTATTTATAATCCCAGATGCTATTGAAAAGGCTAGAAAATGTTCTTCCCCATCCTTTGCACACTGTAAGCATCATAGCACTTGTGGAAAAGCACCTCGGGTCACTTGCTGAGCAAGTAGAACAGCATGGGCCAGACCAGAGACGCGCCTAGTTGATGATAGCTTTATTTACACTCTGGATTTCAGTAGCATTGAGAGTGAGGCCCCATTTTCTGGGGCATTGTATAATCACAGAGTAAAAGAGAGTCCCTGCCCTGAACAGTGCCCACACTAATTAGGCAAGGAAAAAAAAAAGAAAGGAGGGAGGGATAATTATCTTCACCTTAACAATGGGAAGATGATACACAGATATGACAGGGCTGACAGTTTGAGTGATGAGCTCATTAGCAAGAAGGGCCCCCCCACTGATCTGCCTACAATCAATCAGGAAACTTGTAGGAGGGTAGGAATCTAAACGCAGGGTCCCTGTGTCTAAATTCAGAGCCTCCACCCTACTGTTACCCATTATCTCTTGTTTTTCCATACCCGTACCCACTCAGGGCTACATCTGGAGGACATGCCTTGGACTTCAGCAAAGCAGGATGAACTCCACCAGTGCAGGAGCTGGATAAAAAAATTACTAGTTCTGCTATAAACATGAAAAAATTGCCAGAGGGAGTCTCACCAGCATGCCATCTAGCAATGTGTGCTGCCACTTATAATACCCACACCACGTCATTTGGACAGAAGTATTAGAAGCCTCAATGTGTCCATTGCAGAACAAACTGCCCATAGAAGTTTGTGCTAAAACCCCATCAAAAGATGTTTGTGCTAAGGCCTATTTCTATATTTCTATATAAAATTATACATGACCCTCCAAACTTCAGATTTATGTTATATAAATAGAGATTAACCTACAAACAGCAACAAAACAATTATTTAGTATCTGTTGCCAGTCTATAGAGGTTTATGAAAGTATTTGGGGGAAATTCTATAGCTAGTGAAAGGTGGTATTTTTTTTTAAATACAACTAACAATTGGAACACATATATATATATACACATATATACAGGGAGAGATCAAGAGAGAGATATCTATATATGTGTATATATGCATGTGTGTGTTTGTATGTATGTACACACACACACATAATAGAAGTTATTTGTATTTTACTACAACTAACAACTGGAACATACACACACGTGTGTGTGTGTCTGTGTGTGTGTGTGTGTGTGTGTAAAAAAAGAAATATATGTATTAAAACTCCAGGGTTTTTCAAAATGGTTTGTACATCAAATTCACTTAAGATACAGGTAAAATGAATGAGGGGTTGTGGGCTTTTTGGGGGGTCCCAAGTTATCTATGTCACTTGAATACTCCAGCCACAGTTTATGAAGTCTACAAGCTCCAGTGGTAGAAACTGGAAAACTATAGAAACAATTCTTTGTGAAAAGAACCACATGGTGTTTTTGCAAGATTTAATCCTAAATTAAATCCATGGTTACATACTCTTTGGATAGCAATAAATAATTCATTCAAAATGGACTTACCCTGGTCTCCAAGGAGAATATGTCAAGAGAAGTGGTGAGAAGAGCCCTGGGTGGTGAGTGCTTTTATATGATTCTGAGAGCGCCTGGAGGACCTGAGACACCCTTTATGCACACAGTCCTAATTAGTTGCAAAACAAACTTTGCTGCATGCATAACTCCTTCATCTAATGAAATTGTTTTGCTTGCTGTTGGTGCTTATTAGCTAATTTTGAACTGCACGTAGCATGGCATCATTATTGTTTTATGGGTCAGATAAAATTCTTGATATCTTTCCACTGACCACATTTCAGTTATGTGAGGAATTAACTGGGCTCCATTCATGTACTTTTTTTTATCAGCTTGAATACATGAACCCCTTCAAGGAAGCATGAAATGCTGCAAAGCACAGGATCCTACTTCTGTCCTTCATGCCCAGCCTGCTGTACACGTGCAAGTGAACCGCAATTTAACTTTGCAAATTGCTAGTGAAGAGCTGAATTTAATCCACAGTCTCTTCAACTTCTGTAAGTAGCCATGAAGGCTCATATCCTATTAGTGTATAACCTCAAGATATCCAGATGGCACGTGAACAGTTTTTAGGCATCTAAGACACTATATGCAACCCTGTTCTGTGCCACTGGCCCAGGTCCCATAATGCACCTTGATTCTTTAAGTGCTTCTGTCTTTCCCTGAAATGTCCTTAAATGACTAGACTTGGCTTGTTGTACACATTCAGAAGCGACTCAATATATCCCCCATGGTCTCTAGTGCCACTTATAGATTTATAGATACATAGATGTTAGAGACTGGAAGGGACCTCAGAAGATCATCAGGTCCAGGCCCCCTGCGCTTGCTTTCTTCTGTGATCCTGTCCTATGTGGAATGGTCATCAATTCCACTCAGGTTCCCTGTTCAAAAAGAAATGTTTAATGCCTCTGTTTGATGCCCAGGAAGTATGAGACCTGGGGTCTGAGCCCACCTCTCCTTTAGGGAATTTAAACCCACACCTCTGGTTTCCAAGGAGAATGCCATAAGCTCTAGCCCATGGGATAGGCAGAGCTGGGGAGCTTCTTCCATTGCTCTTCTAGCAGCTGGTCCCTTGGTGGAAAGGAATGTGAGCATTATGGGGCCGGAAGCAGAGCCTGTAAGAGGAAGTGTGACTCAGTATCCTAGTGGTTAGGGATTTACCGGGGGGGGGGGGGGGGTTGGGT